TTTAATTCACAAGAACATGTATAAATTGTACAATGAACGAACCTCCTCCAATTTTCTAGCTTCCTCAATTCGTTTGATCTTTTCCTCTTTTCGTTGTCGATAGTCAGAGGTTCGCACCTGAATTTCTCCCTAACAATGAACAAACAACAGCATACAATACCAAGGATAGTAAAACTTTATGACAGGCCTTAAAATATCTTTTACAGGGCTGTCTGACAAAATGTCCGATGACTATGAGTTTGGGTCGGACATATGTATGATGATGTCCAATGACCTTCAGGTCATTTGGCTTTTCATACATTACTCTGATTCTCCATTTTAACTTAACATACAAGCCTCGGCCTCTAGTCCTGGACTAGGGTACATTTTGATTTACATCAGACAACATTGCAGTTCGGTTGGACACCAATACAGTCAGGTTGGACAGACCAGATAGAATGTCCAGTTGTTTCCTCCTTACTTCAGACAATTTCACAAATGTGTCAGACAATTTCAAGAATGGGTCGGACAACCTGTAACCAACAGTCACAGATATTTTAAGGCTTGTGTGATGAAAACTTGTTGAGGCTGATCCCGTCAAACTGTAAGCCGCCCGCTAAAAAAATTCCACAAAACTAAAAGTTTGGTTATTGTTCCCCTTGTGGCAGGGCATCAAAATTAGAAGTGGTTCACAAGAATTTTACTGTGAATTTTATTGAAGAAAAAATGCAAAGCAATGACAAACTGACATTCAGGCATTAAAACTAACTTTTTTAGTTCACCTAATTATCCTGTGTGGGTTTTATTAGTGTCATACTATATCAAAAGCTTAGTCTTAAACAGGGGCAGTACTAATAATAGTACTGAGTTACTTAAGAGTTGTACTTTAATATTTAGTGTATTGTTTTTAGTTAGGCCTAAAAATTCATGCAATAGCTTAATTTTTAGCCTATCGATGTTTTCAAGATTGAAATTTTTTATAGCTTCGTTACACAGTTATTCAGCTATCATTCCAATGCTTTCAGAAATTATTGGTGAGTGTTGCCGACAATAGTCACACCTGCATGTATGTTGTTTCTGAGTGTGTCCACACCAGGCAAGCGAAAAAGTTTTGCTTGACCGTGGTGGGATTCGAACCTGCAACCTTTGGTTGGCTAGTCCAATGCTCTACCAACTGAGCTACAAGGTCAAGTAGGTGATATGCGAATATTTAGGAACTCAGTCTAGCTCCTTTGATATTAGTGTGTTTTTACAATCTTGAATTTTTCTGGTGTTACATGTGCACTCAGGTGAAGATATATGTTTGTGATGTTGTCTCCGAAATATCACCCACTCGTAGCTCAGTTGGCAGAGCTTTGGACTAGCAAACCAAAGGTCACAGGTTTGATTCCCACCGTACGTGGTCAAGCAAAACTTTTCAGCTTGCTTGGTGTGGACACACTCAGGCATATAACTAAGGCTTAAATAGACCATATTTTTTTCTGCTGACCCTATTATTTTTTAAACGCAATTGACCGTGCAACCCTATTTTCTCTGTGTGGTTGCGGGCGCTCATACAGCATGCCAAAATGACGTCTGTTGTCACACTAATTATTGAACCAAATTGCCTAAATTCGTCCATAGGAAATACGGATATCTCTAGTTAATATTGATGTCGGGACTCTACTGCAAATCACCCAGAAAAAAAAACAAAATGCCAAAACCATGAAAAAAAAATTTTAAAAAAAATTTATTTCCGACCTAGAACCACAGGTATTTTTTAGGCCTAAGTTATATACTGTTTTGTTTACAACTGAATATGGGAGCTGAAATGCAAATTTCATATTTATTAATAGAAATATATAGATATTTGTTGTTTTTTTGGTCATTTTTGTTTTGATATGGTATATGCTAAAACAATTATTCACCTCAGTGTGGTGAACAGTGCAAGGGTATGCACATCAACACTTTGTGTTTCTGTGAATATCTTTGTTGCACCATAGATATTCACCTCCACTTTGGTGAATAATTGTAAATCATAATGGTCAAGTACTTTGGTGAATAATTGTAAATCACAATGGTTAAGTCAATGCCTGTGATGTTGTCTCTAAGTGCATCCACACCAGTCAAGCAAACTTTTCAGCTTGCCCCAGTGTGGAAACACTCGGAGACAACATCACAAACATATGTTTTCAGCTGAGTGGATATAAACATCTGAAGCAGAATAGTCACACCTCCAACACACCTCAGAGCAACATATACAGTTATGTTGTGTTTTCCATGTAAACATGAAATCAGATATGTTACATTTCTGCACTTCCATACTGTATATGTGCATATTTATAATAACTGCTGAAATATTGACAAGGGAATGTTGAGAGAAAATTATAGACAGACACAAGTGGTATTTTTGACAGGCTATCAGAGATGGCAAGATAACAGTGATTTTTTATGCACAAACCTGATGCAAAATGACTGAAGAATATTCTAATATGTAATCAATGTAGCAAATTAGAGAAACGAATATTTCTATCAATACATATAAAAAGATATGGTGGTAATCCTTTGCAGCTGCTCAAAATATGAATAAAGATTTCTTGACTATTTGTAGTAAAGAGCAGTATTTGTCGTGTTTGAACAGAAAATTTAAACAATACAGTATGTTCCCACGGAATTTCTATCAGTTCGAAGGAGTTTACGGCTAATTTTAGGAATTTGATTTTACCAAACATAAAGGCGCATAAACAGCTTTTGTTATTCATTAATGATCATCTGAGCTAATAACTTTAACTTTCGATTTCAACCCTGGGAATAAAACATTACGTTAGCCTCGAAGGAACGTTTTGTGTTAGTATATTGAATCATACAACGTAAATTCGAGTGAAAAGAACAAGAAGTTGGGACGTGCTAAACAGCAGACATAGTAAATCGTGCTATATATTTAATTTTTATAAACAAATCACATGCAAATCAGACGTAATTTCACCCCTGATTTCACGAAAACCCTAAATGGGTTCTATATATTACCTGTATTAAAATTACAATGATAACCTACCTGGGCTACAGCTTTCTTGGGCGACTTTTTCTTGCTAGAATTTCCATCCTTGGTTTTTCGCAACGAAGCCTCTTTTATATACGCTTGGCTGTGAAGCTAATTTAATCGGGAAGCAAAATTTTCAATCAGTATTCATGAAAGAAAAAGACAATAATATCGCTTGTGTTTGTGTATAAATGAAGCGGAAAAATGGATAAGAAAAAATAACACCTCTATATAATAGTCAAACCTTGTTTGAACTGTCTGTGCTTACTGCTCGTTTGCTCAAATGTGTCGCAGTGAGGCTGATCACGATCGCAGAGAAAATAACACTTTCGATTGACTACATAAAATACAAGACAAACTTCTCATTGTAATTCTGAGTACTGCATGTACTTAAGTTTAAAAACACAATCACAGTGATTCACGTACAGCTGGCTATTAAGGCTACAAGGCGAGAGGAATTCAAAGGAAGCAAATATCGATCGTATATTTCAGACAGAAATACAATAGCTACCGACATACCTGTGTTATTAAGGGCACAACAACACATCCCACAACCGAACCAAACACGCAAAATACTGAATACTGATCGAGAAATCCTTTCCCAACAGCCATAAGGATGAACGTAGTCTGGAAATATAAACCAGCTGATTAGTCATATATCGATGTATACAAATGCGAAATTTGTTGATAGTTGATCAACATGTCCCACACAGGTTTAATATATACTTGATCGCTTTAATTTCCTTCCTTAAAACTTTGCTTAAAACCTACCAAACGTAAATCCGTGTACTGTAAATCTTCAAGAAATCACAAAGCTTTTAAACTAACGGGTAATCACAATTTGTATTCCAAAATTCTTTCTTCTAAAGTAGCAACTTGAGTGCTCAGCAAATTTCCGTCCATTACTTGATCTTCGGAGTTTGCGCACAGATCACTATGCGTGTGACTGATGACGTAACCAATTGTGACGTTGTTCATTGGTTCGTTTCGCATGATGTGACTTTGTACACAGGATTTGCAGGTCGTATAAACATCCGGGAATGTCAACTAATATCAGTAATATTTTCAAACATTTAGCCAATGTAAATAGATATGTGTATATTATAGTACCATAGTAAAAATAGTAAACACCATGGACCAATTCTACCTTAATATCGTTAATGCAAGCTAGTCAAATCAAGGTCATGTGATTCCAGTCAAAATATTTTAATTTATAGTATTGCGCTGTCACCAGACTGGCTGTCATTCAAAAAGTTGCATCATATTTGTAGGCGGATTTATAGTCATGTCAATCATGCTAACGTTTATTGTTCTTGCTGTTTCTAGTAATTTCCCCCAGGCTCAGGCTGTAGAGCAAAAACATTGGCCAGGGCCTCTGATATGTCACAATGTCGTTTTCTGACCATCACAATTCTGTAAAATCTCTCCCCAAAGTCCGGGAAATGGCATTTCAGAGAGTCAGAATTTTCCAGGTGAGCATGCCCTGGACCCCTAGAAAACTCGTGCATATACGGTGCTCAACTCGTGCCTCTGGCACTTCTATACTAGGGGGCCTTCGAAAATTTTGAACCGGGGGCCCCCTAATATAACGTTACGCCACTGGTTGGATCTTCCTGGCCTCTTGGGTCTGGTAAATTTTGAATCAATAAATCCAATCCCTTCCATCTTCCATAATCCTCTTAATTCCATCACCGGATCTTAGGGGCCGATTACATGGAGCATTTTCAACTCCAGGGTTGAACTCAGCCCTGTTTACCGGGTTGAAATTTCAGCCCTGTCTGTAATACAAAACTCTATCAAAATCAAACGCCCGGTTGAAATTTCAACCCTGCTCAGCTAGCAGGGTTGAAATTTCAACCCCGGGGTTGAACTCAGCCCTGGGTTGAAAATTTTGTCATGTAATCGTTTCAACCCAGCCCCAGGGCTGAAATCAATAGTATCATGAGTTATTCGAGCATAAGTGGTAGTGACTATTTATTACAAGAAAACAAAATAAAGGCTTTTTGTCAGAGATTGCGTAATATTCTATGACGTTTATTTTGTGAACACATGGAATACTAATGAGACGAGCGTAGAGTTTTCATATGGCAGCGTTTTTGTAATAAAGTTTGTGTTATTTATATTTTAATGAGTCTGAACCACGCATGAGTTGAGCCTTGAACCTTGGAGAAAGGAGTCCTTTGAGAGTTTTAATCTAAGTATTTTACATGGTCCTTCCGAGCCGGATATTACAAAATAATACGTGAGTTTATACATCTGAATTTGAGCCGCCATATTGAAAAGATTCTGATACATAAATCCTGAACAATGGCCGAAAAAGAAGAGTTGACTCGAAAGAAAAGATGTCGAAACGGACATAGAACCTCAGCGAAACGAATTATGGCGTCTATAGGCGAAACTCTTATGAGTGTGGCGGAGAAATCGCAGTTAACTCCGCATATTGCGAAGTTAAAACAACAAAAGTCAACACTCGAAGCGAAGTTGAAATCACTCCGAGAGCAAGATGAAGCTATTTTGGCGCTGGTAAGTGTAGAGGACATAGAATTAGAGATTGAGCAAGGGGATATTTCACGAGAGAAAATCGAGTCTGTTATTATTGAAGTACAAATGGCTTTAGATGAATATGAGAAATCAATTACTACACAATTGAATACTGAAAACAATGTCATAACCCCAGTTACCCCTACGCAACCCACTACATCCATAACAGGGAATAATTCAGAAACTGCCAGTAACCATGGTGACAACAGTATACAAGCTGACCCTTCAAATTTCATGAATAATTACACCAAAATACCCACAGTAAAGTTGCCAAAGTTAAATCTTAGGGCATTTCGGGGAGATCCCACATCTTGGGCGACATTCTGGGATACTTTTGAGTCGTCAATTCACAACAATCCCACACTATCAAGTATTGATAAATTTAATTACCTCTCGTCACTTGTGGAAGGAACAGCAGCAGATGCAATTGCAGGATTAACCTTAACCACTCTAAATTATGAAGAAGCCATCAAAATATTGAAGAAGCGGTTTGGTAACAAACAGCTTGCAATCAATAAACACATGGATATTCTGTTAAATCTAGAGCCAGTTACTTCTCCACATAACTTAAAGGGACTGAGAACACTTTATGACACTGTAGAATCTCATATCAGAGCTTTGAAATCACTTGGGGTACAGGCAGAAACATATGGCACTCTATTATGCTCAATGTTACTCAATAAGTCACCTCAGGAATTGTGCATAATAGTGAGTCGAGAAGTACAAGGAGATGTTTGGGAATTGGGACACTTGCTTGAGTTGATTGAGAAGGAGCTAGAGGCCCGAGAAAGAGCAACTGCAAATACCAACAGGGAGACTTGGCCCCATTACCAAACAAAGAAATTTTCCAAACCACAACCCTCAATTTCAACCTTGCAGACAGGGGGTACATCACCGACATGCACCTACTGTCAGCAGTCACATACCTCAAATAGTTGCACCAATGTCTCTAACATCACAGCACGAATTGACATTATAAAGCGAAGTGGACGGTGTTTTCTCTGCTTGAGAAAAAATCATTTAAGTCGTGATTGCAACTCTAAGTCAAGATGTCATAAATGCAATGGTAAACACCACATAAGTATATGCACCAAGAATAGCAGTCATAACCATGCCCAGAAGACCCCATCCGATACAGAGCTTAAGCAACAACAGCATGAACAAACCTCTGAGAGCAAAATCTCAAGCAACAAACCCAGTAGATCAAATCAATCAGGGAATAGTGGCACAAAATCATTGTTTACAAGTACCAAGACCCCAATACTTCTTCAAACTGCAAAGGCAACAATCCTTCCTGTGAGTAGAAATGGTAAGAGTGGGAACGTGAGAGTTATCCTAGATGGCGGAAGCCAGAGGTCCTACATCACCAGTCGGACACAAGATTTACTAAGCCTACCCACTGAGCGAACTGAAACAATGTCAATAAAAACTTTCGGTTCTGGAGAAGAAAATCTAACCACCTGTGATTCAGTCAATTTTATTCTAGAAAGTCACACTGATAAGATACAGTTGTCCTTGTCAACCTTTGTTGTACCCACCATATGTGAACCACTGCAATACCAACTTGTCTCACAATCCCGCCACAATTACCCTCACTTACACGACCTAGTATTAGCTGATGATTCAATGGGAGAACTTGACTCGGAAGTGGACATACTTATCGGTTGTGATCAGTATTGGGACATAGTGACAGGAGAGATTCGAAAGGGAACAAATGGTCCGACAGCTATCAACACCAACCTTGGATGGGTCCTGTCCGGACCAGGCGAGAACCATTCACAACAGAGATTGGAAGCATCTGTAAACATGTCATCCACTCATGTTTTGCAGCTTGAAACCCCACCATCCCAACCAATGCACCACGAAGATGACCAACAACTGAGACGATTCTGGGATTTGGAGTCACTCGGTATATCAAAGGAAGAGAAGTCGGTTGTTGAAGAATTCACAAGTACCATAGGTTTCAAAACGTGATCCCGAAGTCTTAAAGGAGTATGATGCAGTAATAAAGGATCAACTTACCAAGGGCGTTGTCGAGATTGTTGAGAAAGAAGATATTGGAGAGCTCGGAAAAGTTCACTATATTCCTCATCACGCTGTGATCAGGCGAGATAAAGAGACAACCAAGCTAAGAATTGTGTATGATGCATCCGCCAAAACATCTGGTCCGTCCTTGAATGAATGCCTCTATACTGGGCCCGCAATGACCCATAACATCATGGACATTATTCTTCGTTTTCGAAGCCACAAAGTAGCACTAGCGGGTCATATAGAGAAGGCTTTCTTGATGATAGCAGTTTCAGAAGCTGATCGTAATGTTCTACGGTTTCTTTGGTTCGATGATGTTTGGAGTGACCAACCTAAGATTATTGTCTTGAGATTTACGCGTGTAGTATTCGGAGTATCATCCAGCCCGTTCTTACTGAATGCGACTATCAGTCACCATATCGAACAGTACCGCGCTCAAGATCCTGCCTTTGTCGAAGCCTTCATGCGAGCTGTTTATGTAGATGATCTAAACTCGGGTGGGGTTGATGACAAATCTGCCTACACTCTTTACAAGAAATCAAAGCTTAGATTGGCAGAAGGTGGATTTAACCTTCGGAAGTTTGTTACCAACTCGCCCAAACTGTTGACGAAGATCAAAAGTGAAGAGAACCCTCTTCCTAGAACTAATTTGGAGCCTAACCCTCAAGTGGACGAACCGCCAAACGATTGCGTAAATGAAGATGAAACGTACTCGAAGATTACGCTAGGAACATCCAATGAATCCTCTAATGAAGAGCACAAGGTTCTCGGGGTAGCGTGGAATTTTGTTGAAGATGACCTTGTGTTTGATCTTAGTCATGTGACCGAATTGGCATCCGAGTGTTCCCCAACAAAGCGAAATATCGTCCGTCTTTCTGCAAAGTTCTATGATCCGATTGGCTTCATGTCGCCAATAACAGTTCAATTCAAGATGTTATTCCAAGAACTGTGCGGAGAAAAGTTGAATTGGGACGATGAAGTACCCCATGATCTTAAAGTAAAATGGGACAATCTAGTTAATAAACTAAAACAAATGAATCGCATTCGGCTTTCTCGATGCTATTTTCGAGAGGTCGACGACCCAGTTATCTCCTGCATTGTCCATGGATTTGGTGATGCCTCGAAGGCGGCGTACGCCGCAGTAACCTACCTGGTCATGATTACCACAATTGGCATCAGAGTAGAGTTCTTAGCAGCGAAGA